TTCCCTGCTACTTCTCCCTGGAAAAAAGACAGCCACCCTGCTGGGGGGTTTTCCCTTCCAATAAATCTCTTGTGTGAGGTTTGTTGTTTGGTGTGACTTTGTGGTATCCCTCGGCTTCCTGATTGCCAGGATATCTCTTGAAAAAGGTATATTTAAAAAAAAAAAGTTTAAAGTGGGTGCCTTTTGGCAAGCCCTGCCTGCCAAGGTCTGCCACTAAGCAAACGTTCCATGCACAACAGTTAGTGCAAGAGGTTTATTGGGGGAGGGGAAGAGTCAGAGAGCGAAAGGCCACGTTGTCGGAGTGGGGGGCATGAGAGAGGCAGAAAGACAAAGAGAACAGGCAAGAGAGGCGAGAGAGGGAACAGTGACTGGTGGGCCCTTCTAAAGTGTGCCCCTGTCACATAGCTGATGGGGGAAAGGCACATGGCGGCAGGTGATGACGTAACCACCTCCGTGGCGGATGCTGGCTGATGCCACCAGGGGAGCTAACCTCTTTCCCTTCAGAGCTGTAACACTTACACACCTCTCCCAGTTCATTCCCTCTTAAAACTGCCGACCTCCCATGTGACACTAGGTGGCGCCAGAATGTGCGTACTTAAGGTTCTGGGCTAATATTCCCTTGCATGCTGGCCTGCTGGTCCACTGGCTTGGTTACAGGAACTTTTAGAAAGCCCCTGACGTTAATTTTTATAAGCAGTGTATACTTTAGTGCAGCTGTCAGTGAACACTGTGTGGAATTAAATTTTCTAGGTATGACAACAGAGGAATCATTAAGGCATTCAATCCCCATCATGCTTCAGTGCACCAGAGCCAACCACACGGTTTTTTCTCAGAAGCCAGGTGAAGGTCTGAATTCACTTCTGGCTTTCCTACTATTATTGCTGAGATGTTTTGGGGAACTCTCCTGGGGTGCAAGGTGTTTTGTTTCTTTCAATGGCTCTGAGTTTTATAAGCCTTGTAACAGAAAATTCAGTCAGTATTCCTCCACCAAAACTCCATTATTTTCTACCCAAGCTACTATTAGGTAAAAATCAGATACTCTGTTCTTGTTTCTCAGCAAAATTTCTTTTAAGTCAAAAGTGTGAGGTTTCATTTCTCCCCATTCTTAGTTATATTCTTCCTAGGTGTGTGTGTGTGTGTGTGTGTGTGTGTGTGTGTGTGTGTGTGTGTGTGTGTGTAATCTCCAGGCTTCACAAGCTGGAAAGAATGCCCATCATTACCAGCTGGGAAGGCATGGTGGCTGGAGCACCAGGCTAGCCCATCACATTGTGGCTGGAGCACCAGGCTAGCCCATCACACCGCATCGGCTGTCTGGAAGCAGAGAGAGTGAATGCGCGTGTGTTTGCTCTTAGCTACTGTGCCCTCTGTTCTGCAGCTCGGGACCCCTTGCCCAGAGGAGGGTGGCAGCCACATTGGGAGGATTCTCCTAGCTCAGTTAATGAATCAACATAAACTCCCACAGAGAGGCCCACAGGCCATTCTGATCTAGACAGTCCCTCACTGAGACCCAGTCCTGCATGATGCTAGAGTGTGTCAAGTTGACAAAACTAACCATCCCAACTCTGCCATTTATCACCTTGACATAAAAACACATCACTTAAAGATATCACCATCGGGCCTTTTCCCCCAAAGTCTCATATTTATCTCATAATGTAAATTCTAGTCCAACTTTAAAAGTCCCCACGGTCTTTAAAAAGTCCAACACTTTAAAAATCCAAAGTCTCTTTCATAGAATAAAAAACAAAGTAAATATTCTAATTTCCTGACAGAATAATCAAAACACAAAATAATCACACTGAGAGAGAACCAAAATCCAGTAGGATAAACGCCAAATCCGTATAGCTCCATGTCCAGCATCTGGAGTTCATGATGTAATGTCTTTTCCAGTCAAGATGTATTACTATTTGTGTGGATGTGTGGTATGTATTAGTGCAGGGGCCCACGGGAGGCCAAGGAGAGTGCTGGATCCCCTGTAGCTGGAGTTACAGACAGCTGTGAGCCACTTCATGGGGGTTCTGGGAACTGAACTAGGATCCTGAGGAAGGGCAGGCAGCTGCTCCTAACCACTGAGCACTGAGCTAACTTTCTCACCCACATGTGTCTTGGGGACTAGAGATTCCTGTGTGTGTGTGTGTGCGTGTGTGTGTGTGTGTGTGTGTGTGTGTGTGCGTGTGTGTGTGTGTATTCATGAATATGGAGGAGGCTAGAGGACAACCTCAGGTATCATCCTTAGGAACTCTGTTTACTTCTGTGAGCCACTGTCTCTCATTGGCATGGGGACTCACCAAATGTCTGGCCAGCACGCCCCAGGATAGGTGGATACACTGTTTGATTGACTGATACCTGCAGAGTCTCATTCTGTAATCTAGGCTGTCCTGAACTCACTCCATAGCCCAGCCTGGACTTGAACTTGCTAAGTGATCCTCCTGTCTCCTAATATAATCTCCTAATTGCTGAGATTATAGGCAAGAGCCACCATACCCTACAGCACATCAGCTTTCCTGTGAGGGGAAAGGACCACTGGGACTTCTCTGTAGTCCATCTTTCAGGCAGGATACTCCATCTTTCAGGCAGGCTATTCTGGTCTTGGTACTGAGGGATTGAGATCTGGATATTACTATCCACTGTTTCTCTAGTACATCTCAACAAATGGACCTGGATAAGGTTTATTAGGCATATTGCCCACCCCCAGTTTTGATTCATGAGTATCTAAATGATTTTCTCAATTTTATCCATCTGTCTCTTTATTAAGATAAGCTGATTTCACATTTATTCATTTATTTATTTATTTATTTATTTATTTATTTATAAATCTTGGGGGGGCGGGATTTGAGACAGATTTTCTCTGTGTGTAGCCTTGGCAGTCCTGGAACTCACTCTGTAGACCAGGCTGACCTCGAACTCACAGGGATCCACCTGTCTCTGCCTCCCGAGCGCTGGGATTAAAGGCGTGCGCCACCATTGCCCAGCTGGTTTTCTACTTATATCTCAGGTTATAGTGCAATACAGCCGGGGTTTTAATTTCCTTTGTTTTTTGTTCTTCCACTCTCCAACAATGAGAGTCCTCATGTTCTTCTTGCCCAACCGTGGCGGCAACCTTGAGCATTAACTCCTACCTCTGTAAGAAACGCATTTGCTACCGAGAATCCATGTTGGTATGGAGTCTCACAGCTTATGTTAACATAGGTTTATAATTTTCAGGAAAAACACACTGTCAAAGATTCTTATGTCCGTTTCTTTTATTGAAGATTAAAACCTCGAGAATCACCCTTTGTAATACAAAATTGTGTGTGTTAACAAATATATAGACTTGTTCCCATATCCCCATCAAATACAGAGCAGTCCGTCACCTTGAGATTTCTCAACTGCACCTCTTTTTGATCAGTCTACTTCTCCCTGCCCTGACCCTCACATCACTCATCCTTTGTCTGCCCTATAATGCTCCTCAGAAAGAACGTTACATGAGTGAAACAATTACACCGCAAGTCCTTACAGTCTGTCTCCTTTCACTTGGTGCAGGTAAGATGTGTTTTGTTCTGTAGGCGTTCAGTGTCGACTCCATCTGCCTGTGTGTTCCTGTGCTGGAGGCTGTGATTCCTCACACTTGACAGCGACTTGATGAGTGCTACTGGTAATACTCACATACAGGGAGAGGGGGTGTGGGCACATGTTTTCAGAGTTTGGGTGTAACCTAGACCATCTGTTTGTTTATTGTTCATCCAGAGGAGCCGTTTTAGAATTATTAACTACTACATAGGTAAAGAAATTAATTTGCAGCAGGGTGGGGGTGGCGGCATCCGCCCTGTAATCTCAGCACTCAAGAGGCAGAGGAAGCAGATCTCCAAGGTCAAGGTCAAGCCTGGTCTACAGAATGAGTTCTAAGATAGTCAGGGCTACACAGAGAAACCCTGTCTCAAAACAAAAAAAAACAACACAAAACGTTAATTTGCTACCCAGGTATACTGGCACAAGCCTGTAATCTTAACACTCAGGCGGTGAAGACAGGAAGATGAGGAGTTCAAGGCCACCCTCGATTATACAGAAAGTCCGATGCCAGGCTGTGCTACTTGAGACACTCCTCTAAAAACACACAAACAAGTAAACAAGCCAACAGTCAAGATCTTTCTGCTGAGAGTACATTGTTTATATGGAGCTGCATAGTGTTCTTTACCTTTGACCTCATCATTTCCACAGAAAACATCACTTAGTAAAGATTCTTTCTTTTTAGGGGTTATAAATGCTGAGGTTCACCTTTTTTTGATATGAAATTCTAAGAGTTTAGACAAATACAGAACAAACTGTCACCTTGGAAGGTCTCTGGTATGCACACTTTTTCTTCATTCACACACATCCTTTGCATCAGCCGGTGATCTGTTAGCTGCTGTTCCTTTTAAGGATTATCTTATGAAGTGACCCAGTAAACACTGCCTTTGCGGTCTCTTTCCACCTAATAAGATGCATTGGAAGTTAATTCGAGTTGCTTTATCACTCACCTACTCTTCTCTCTTGCTGAAGCCTATCACATCTGTCAGATATTTATAAGTAGTATAGGTAATCCAGGCCATGACATGTAAGATCCATTTTCTATGTCTCCCTTGAAGACATCCTGGAGAGTATAAAACACGTATGCATCTGGCATGTGGCTTTTCTTTTATGTCTGCCATCCACATATATCACAATAAATAGGTGTAACAGAAATAAAAAGAATAACTCTGGGGGCTGGGGAGATGGCTCAGCAGTTAAGAGCACTGGCAGCTCTTCCAGAGGTCCAGGTTCAAATCCCAGCAACCACATGGTGACTCACAGTCATCTATAATGGGATCTGATGCCCTCTTCTAGCACGCAGGCATGCATGCAGATAGAACACCATATGAATAAATCTTGAAAAATTATAAAAAAAATAAAACTAAAAAAAGAATACCTCTGCGTTTTCATTTTAAAGGAAGCGCATACGAGCCACACCACAATGCGTCACTCTGGTGGCAGTACACCAGCTCATCTTAAGGGAACTCACCCATCCTTAAACAACACGTGTTTACTGCCCTCTCACACATGGATTTGAAAATGTTAATTACACTTTTTTCAGTGCTGAGGACTGAAAAGGGACTCACAGTGGCATAGCCATGGCCTATCAGAATCGACATACAGTAAAACATGGGATCATCACTTACACTTCTTAAGTAGGCACTGATGCTATCCAAGGTGTCCATCACCACAAAGAAACTCATGAGGCACAGAATGGTCCAAGTGGCTCTTTGTTCTGCAGATGGTTTGTGGGAAAGGCTGGCGCTGTGGAGGACACGGGACTTCTTCTTATGTCTGCATAGGAAAGTCACCATGTACCCACTGGAGAGGGCCATGAGACCCACAAAGATGACATCCCTGGAGGTCAACAGTATATAAAATGTGTACTGAACAGAGTAATTCATCGGCACAAGAGAGCAAGATTCAGTGAGGTACGTAAGATGAGATGAGGTCAGATTAGGGATCGCAATCATGTATGATAAGAGGGGACTGCCAATGGATGTACAGAAGACACTGAGAAAAAGAAGGCAGCCTAACATGTGGTGTGGAGATTTGTGTTTGAACTTTGCTAGACAGGAGCTTCTGGGACTGAGGGTGATGGCCTGGAGGATGCTGAGCAGGCTAGAGGCACACAGAGAGAGGCTCCTAAAAAACCTGTACAAGAACATAATAAGTTTACATGTGGTGTCACCCCATCTCCTCCAAGGCATAAAAATGTCTGTAGCTACTAAACTCATGACCAGCAGCATCAGTATGTGGATTAGGGCCTAGAGACCAATGGGCAGGTCAGTGAGTCTGGGCCTCTGCCCACGAATGAGCCTGAGGATGTGGAAGAGAAGGACACTGTTGCCTAAGATGCCGATTCCAGCTTCAGAATAAATGGTGTTTCTTGCCTTAGTGTAATGGGGCAGTTTATTGGTTTTATTCATTTTATGGCTGAAAGAAGCAGGTAGGAACTGTGGGGGGAGAACAGCAAGAAGATTCCATATCACAAATCTAGCCTTGCTCATCAATTTCAGTCAGTGACAGCATTGTGACCTCAGGGAGACCTGTTGGGGATTCACAGAGGTTCAGCCTTATTCCACTCACTGTCACCTCCACCTCCAACTGTCCAGAAGCCATCCCCGCTCTCCCTGCTGTTCCGACACTTACGCCCCATCAGTATAAGTTTCAACACTTACGCCCCATCAGTATAAGTTTCAACACTTACACCCCATCAGTATAGAAGCTTTCTTCTGTATTAAAAATTTCCCTGGGTCATAGAAGCACTTCTTTTCCTATCGCTTCATATTTGAGGTTTTCCTGAGGCAAAAGCAACTTGTCTTTCATCTGCAGCATCTTGATTGTCAGGGATATAACAGCCCTACAGCTTTTAAGGAAGTTCAGTGAGGATTGCAAGAAATCAGAAATGAGACCCTGGCATGAAACAGTGTCCTTGGGTCAAATAGGCCCAGAGTCATTACCTTCCAGTCTCTGTGTTCTGCTCACTTGCTGCAGACCTAGTGCTCTTCGTGTGGTTCTGCAGGGAGCACTGGGAAGTGGGAACTCTGAATCCAGAACTGCTCCACATTCTACCCACAGTCTGCCATTTCCTCTGAGCGTGACCCTGAGCATTCTGAGACTGAGTCGCGGTCACCTCCTCTAGAACATATGGACAGTCATGTGCCTGTGTCAGGGAAACCCTAGGTGTGAAAGAAGATGAAGTCTATGTGCCAAGCATGGCGGTGTTTCCTGCGCAGGGTGAGCTGTGGAAGTGTCTGCTGCTGGCTTTATTCTCATGAGGTTCCTTATGTTTGTGACTTGGGAGAGTGAATGCAGTTTTAAAAACAATTGATCAGCTCTGCCTTGCCTGAAACAGAGAAGATTAAATATGAAAGCAGTCAAATGTCTGTGCAGCCCTTTTCCAGAGCACTCTGGTAGCATTTTTGCCTTTTCTGTAAATCCCATTTTGTAACTGCATCTGAGATATGTGTTCATGTTACAGCATAACAAAAGCCCCCATGAGAAGCGCCCAGTTATCAGATACTGGCAGGAACATGGTCTGGGGTTTTTCTCCTCTGGCATGTGAATGAAGATTAATAAACAGAAATAGAATTATAATTACAATAGATCCATGGCCATTCCCCTTGTAGGGTTTTAAGGAAAGAAAAATTATCAAACCCATCCTAAAAGATGGGCTGCACAGGCATCTAGGATTCCGTGCCTCTTTGAGGAAACAGTGATATTTCTCAGACTGAGGAGGCCCAAGCCCCAGATGTACATCAAAAGACTTGATAAAGGATCTTCTGGAAGATTCTTCCTCATATAGTGCAAGCATTTACTTGAATTCAAGTATCATACTCCTGAATTGTGTAATAATCCTATGGTCTAGTCATATAGTAACTAGCATCTGAAATTCAAGGATGTGTGCTGGTTTTATATTGTTTAGACCATGGAACTTGTGAGATATGAAGAGAAAGCAGAAGTGTCCAAGGTCCTGAACACGCAGCACCAGCAATGCGCTCAGTGCAAAAGACCTGCGGGCCGGCTCAGTGCGCAGATGGGCTGGCTGTCAATCACGACGATGTGAGTTTGACTCCCGGGATTTACATTCTGGAAGGGAAGAACCAACTCCAAGGACCCCAAGAAGTGTGCTGTGGCCTGCATACCTCCTCCTCTTCCTCCTCCCCCACAAAATAAATAAATGAAAGGAAAGGAAAGAAATCAGAGCGAAGGTAGATAGTTTAAACAATTAGAAACAGTATCTGGAGAGATGTCTCAATGGTCAAGAGCAATTGCTGCTTTTGCAGAGGACACAGGTTCAGTTCCCAGCACCCACACGGCAGCCCCAAACCCCCTGTAGCACCAGTTCCAAGGGATCCAAAAGCTGCTTCTGAGGTCCACAGGCACCAGGCATGTATGTAGTGAAAATACATATATGCATGCAAAATACTTGTACACGTAAGATAAAATAAATTGTTTAAAATAGAGATTTCCTAAATAAAATTCTATAGCAACCTTAGGAAAAGTTAAATTTTTATAAGATTAATAATAATAATAATAATAATAATATTGAGCTGGGCAGTGATGGCACAAGCCTTTAATCCAACACTCTGGAGGCATAGGCAGGTGTATCTCTGTGAGTTTGAGGTCAGTCTGGTCTACAGAATGAGTTCCAGGACAGGCTCCAAAGCTACATAAAGAAACCCTGTCTCGAAAACAACAACAATAATAATAATGTAAGAATTATAGTAATAATGGTACTAATTGAGTTTTAAATGAGTTTCACTGAATTATTCCCCTTGAATTGTCATTTTCTTTATATAACATATGGGTCTAATGGCTTAATCTCAGTCTCAGTAAGCAGAGGTCAGAAACAAAATCTATGAGAGAGGGGAGAGAGGGAGAGAGAGAGGGAGAGAGAGAGAGAGAGAGAGAGAGAGAAAGAGGAAGAGGAAGAGGGAGGGAGAGAGGGGGAGAGGGAGGGAGAGAGAAATCTTCAACCCTTCTTCACAGTCATTGCAAGACTCTGCAAACAGTACGTTTTCTCCACTGGTAACCAGACAGTGACTCTATTATCTTCATGGGACTTTGCAAACCCTGATTTAGGAAAATGGGAAGGGTCTCGTAAAACCACAACTTTAGTGGATGGGGCTTTGGAACCCTTGGAGAACCTTATTTTTCTGGAGGTGACCACCAGAGAAGCCTCCTTCATCCAGAAGACAGACCAAGAATGAGGCATGCCATCATGTCATCACAAGTACTACCTGGCCAGGAGAGACACAGACAATATTTCTGCATTCTTCTCCCAATGTTGCACCACACTTTTATCAATCAAACATACAAATCAAATACATGTGGTGTAAAAGTCTTTAAATTATGTATGATGTAAAAAATATATACATGATAACTTCTAGACTAATCATGGGGAGCCATTCTGGTGAAGATGCCTCAGCAAACCATAGAAAAGGAATCCCCAGGATCGTCCCTTCCTAGGTGAGCCTTACCAGCTTACACCAGCCTAGCAGAGCTTAACCTTGGAAGTCAGGGGACAGGACAGAAATGCTCCACCCTCAGCAGTATCATTTAAGACACCTTCTTCAATCAGACAAGGTAAGGGTGGCTGCCCCGTCAGTGTCCTAGGATAACCTGTTGTATAGTGGACCCAAATTGCCTTTTGCACAATGAAAACACAGATTGATTCAGAGGACACTTGACTTTCTGTATATAAGGAAATAAGTCGCCGGGCGGTGGTGGCGCACGCCTTTAATCCCAGCACTTGGGAGGGCAGAGCCAGGCGGATCTCCGTGAGTTCAAGGCCAGCCTGGGCTACCAAGTGAGTTCCAGGAAAGGCGCAAAGCTACACAGAGAAACCCTGTCTCGAAAAACCAAAAAAAAAAAAAAAAATAAAAAAAAAATAAATAAATAAGGAAATAAGTCACAGGGAAAGTGATGTGGGTTTGGAAAATTGTCCCACATGAAGAATATGAAAAGGAAAAGTGAACAGATCAGTAAAATGGAATACTCAAGAAAGGAGAAACGACCAAAAAAACCCTGGGGCTCCCTCTGTTAGAGACAGCTGTAGGGATGTCCCCTGAAAGATGAGAGGCTTAGCTTGCCCTGCACTGCAGAGTTCAAAAAGCCTTGACTGCAGGCACAGTATCATCCTGAAGTTCCTGCACTCAGGGAGAGCCTGGCAGTGCCTGACATCACCAAATGGGCCTCAAACAAGTGACCAGTGCTCAGGACAGTGACTCGAACTTGTGAACTGGTTGGAAGTAGAGTGGAATGGGAGGAGAAAATCCCTCAGCAGATGTCACTGCAGGATGGGGTGACTGACCCAGTAAGTGCACTGATCCAGGGAGAAGCAGGTTGGAAGGGCACATCTGTTTCCTCCCCAACATGGAATCAGCCTGCCCATCTCCTGGTGCTGAGAGGATGGGTAAAGAGCACGGTCATGTCAGGACTGAATGGTACCTGTCCACTCTTACATTCACAAAACAGTGGACTTGTATCTGTCATCCTCATACAGCTCACCTTTACCATGTTGTCAACACTCTCATCCCCTCTGTAAGTTAATGTAAAATGGACAGACAGGTTTGAAAGGGCAAACTGGCTCTTCCATCTGCAAGTGGGATTGGGTGGGGTGGAACTGAGCAGTGTGTACTGGGTTTTTTTTTTTTTTTTTTTTTTTTTTGTCTAATTCTATCTGGAAAACTAGGAAGACTCTAGGGAGATGGTTGGTGTGTCAGGGAAGGAAGGCCATCACCAAGCAGATGTCAGTTCTATGTCCAGAGAGGCCATAAAGTACAGGAACTACAGGAATGCCATGGCAAATGCCTAGAGAATATCTGGGCTAGGAAATGGCTGCCACTCCTGAAAAGTATCCTGGGAATTAATCCCTGTCATCTTTTTCACTGAAATGAGTGTGGTTACTTCTCTGGGTTCAGACTTGCAGCCAGGATGTTGACTTATGGTGATATTTTATTTGTGCTGAAATGTGATTTTATTTGCATGTTAATAAATAAAGTTGCCTGGGGGTCAGAGCTAATAGCAAGCCATTTAGCAGAAGTCTGGCAGTGGCAGCACACGCCCTTAATCCGATCACATGGCAGGCAGAGTCTGTGTGTTCAAGGACATAGCCAGCTTGGTGACACACGCCTTTAATCCAAGTACCAACCATAGAGACATGGAGGTCTGCATAGACAGGCAGTGACGAAGAAGTCATGTGGTTGGGTTTACAACCAATGAGAAGGCAGAACAGAAAGTCAATAAAAAGACAGACACTGTATGAGCGAGAATTGTTGAGACCAAGATTGGAAAAAGCACAGGGACAAATAGCCAAACGAATGGAAACACATGAACTATGAACCAATAGCTAAGGAGCCCCCAACTGGATCAGGCCCTCTGGATAAGTGAGGACAGTTGATTAGCTTGATCTGTTTGGGAG